TTCTTGGTGTGGATGAGGCTGGTGTTCTGGGGGAAGCGGAGGTGTGTCATGCTAGAGCGTTCCCGAGGACTGACCCCTGTCTTGCCCTGTGGCCCTCCCTTACCTGGGTGTGCAGCAGCTGCACTCTCTCGTTGGAATCCAGGAGCTCCTGTTCCGCCAACTTCCGGGCCCTCTCCGTCTGCTCCAGCGTGGCCTGCAGCTCCTCCACCTCGGCCTGCAGCAGGTTGGCTCTGCGCTCCACGATCGCCAGCTGCTCCTTCAGGTCCTCCTGGCCCCGGAGAGCGTCATCCAGGTGCAGCTGGGTGTCCTGGCCAGAGGGAAAAGGAAACGTGTGTGAACCAGAGCTGCTGGGACTACGACGACAAGCTTCATCTACACCCTGGAGTATCTGAGGCGGCGAGGTCCCCACCCCGCCCCGCCGCACCCCGGAGCACTCTACACCTTCAGCTGGCCCTGGACGCTCCTGAGGTGCTTGAGCGTCTCTGCAGCCTGGCGGTTGGCGTGGCTCAGCTGGATCTCAATCTCATTCAGGTCGCCCTCCATCTTCTTCTTGATGCGGATGGCTTCGTTCCTGCTCCGAACTTCGGCGTCCAGGGCGCTCTGCATCGTCTCCGCCGTCCTCTGGTAATTCCTCTTCAGCTGCTCGATCTCTTCGTCCTTCTCAGCGATCTTCCTATCGATTTCCGACTTCACCTGTGTCAGTTCAAGCTGGATGCGGAGGATCTTGGCTTCTTCGTGCTCCAGGGCTGCCTTTAAAGGACAAGAGCCAAGTGAGTGGTATCCTGGCTGTGTAGAGCCTCCTGCCAACCGACCCTTGGAGTGACAGCATTCCAGTGGAGAGTCCTTATCCTAACTGCAGTATTCAGATCTACAGAAATATAATCTCTTTCATTGCTATTTCTTCTTGATTATACGATCAAATAATATGTTTAAATCATTCTATTTTTTATTTTTTTGGTAGGAGGGCAAAGTAATTTACAGATATTTTAAACCCAACAGATTTTATAAATTCTCATTTTTAGTCCTAGTTTAATGATGTTTTCAAAGAAGATAAACTCAAAGGTTTATCTCATTCAACCTCACACTTGTCCAGTCTGATGGGACAAGAGCAGGCATTAGGCTTCCGATTTTGCAAAGGCAAAAGCTGCTGAATGGGGCCTGTTTGTCTCCCAAGCCCCGTTCACTATCTCTGTTCCTGCTGCTGCCTCCCCAACCTTCATGCTCACCTCTGCTTCTTCCAGAGCCAGCTGGATATCAGCCTTTTCCAGCTCCATCTGCTTTCTTGATTTCTCCAGTTCATGGATGGTTTTACCATTTTCAGCAATTTGTTCGGTGAGATCTGCTATCTCTTCTGCAAGGAAATTAGTTTCGATTGCACTTGGATGCCCTGCATGGGTTTCCAGACCTGGAAAGCACGGGCTCAATGCTTTTTGACTAATTTGTTATAATTCTAAAGGACTCCTATTTCTTAGAGATAAGGCAGTGTGTATAGAGAGACTCCAAAATAACACATTGGGAGGTGAACACTCCGAGAGTGTATCAACACATGCTTGTAGGGGTCCAAATACTGGAGCCATGCCCACACTGACCCACTCTGGCTATTCCTTGGGAAAGGAGATGGTTTCAGACCATCTCAGACTGTTAGGAATGGCTTACGCTCTAAGTTCTTATTTTCCCGTTTCACAGTTTCAAGTTGATCTAAGGCTTCCTCGTAGGCATTTTTCAGTTTGAAGAGCTCAGTGCTCAAGGAGCGGGATTCTTTCAGAGACGCCTCCAGCTCGGCTTGGCTCTCCTCACACTTTGTCTTCCACTCGGCTAGCACCTGAGTCACCAGAATGGAAGGGGTTTCTGTTTATGAACTCCCCTCCTCCAAGCTTCTACTTAATATTATGTTTCAGGGGGGACTCCCAGAGCTAGGGCTATACTTGGTGGTATCTTTTCTCTGGCTCCTTTTCTTAATTATTGGGCTAACCAAGATTGCATTCTCTAAATTTACTCATGATAACCAATCAATAACAATCACCATCTCCCAAAACTTTTGCCATCTCCAAAAAGCAAGGGGGATCCTTTGAGAAGGAATTAGCGAGGCATAACTGTCCTTTTTCTAATATGAAAAATGGCCCTCTATTTCAGTATTTCATTAAAACTATGGTTCAGATCAATTTTATCTGCCATACCGGGGAGAGAAGCTCTCACAAAGCCTCCCACTGAGACGTAAGTTTGAGTCCCTCTTGTCAGCTACCCAGACAAACAATATGTGGGATGGAAAAGGGTTTGGAACTGAATGGCCTTGGGAAAACTGATTTGTTTCCACCGATAGCGTTCGAAAAGGACTTCCATCCCCATCCCATTTCCATTTTATTTCATAGATGAAGAAACTACATCCTAGTGAATTGCAGGAACTTTCCCAAGCCCACCCTATTGGGGAACAAAAGAGTCAGGTGTGGGACCCAGTCTCCTTCCTCCCTGGTCACTAGGACTCCCCACATCCTAGCTTTCAGCCCTGGAGCTAATCTCACACCTTGTCAAAGTTCCTCTGCTTCTTGTCGAGAGCAGTGGCCAGAGAGTTGGCTCTTTCAACATCAACCATCAGATCCTCCACCTCTCCTTGCAGTCTCTGCTTTGTCTTTTCCAAAGAAGCACATTTAGCATTCACTGCCTCAACCTGTTCCTCAGAATCTTGAAGACGCTGAGCAAGTTTTTTCCTTAAAGAATACGAAAGAGAAGCAGATGTGATTAAGTTCCAATCTTCTTGAACATTACTATTCATCAAGTTGCAATTGCTAATCTATGTGATTCAAATGTGCATGTGTTTTCATAAGCCCAGGAGAATTGCCTGTCTGCTAAAAATCAGTGATCAATACCCTGCCTGGTCTCTATCCAAGATCAAATTTGCCTGTCTTAATAAAATATGCTAACACCAAACATCACAGTGCTGCATTTAAAACATATGTAGTGGGGGAAAATCTACTGACAGAAATAAATGCATCAAATTCACCCCCAAGTAGCTCTGAAGCCAGTGTGCTCTACCCTATGTGCACTTAGCAATTCTAGTTCTTGTAAAGCCGGAGTTGCGTACTTGGCCTCCTCCAGCTCCTCCGTGCGCTGGATGGCGTCCGTCTCATATTTGGTCCTCCACTGGGCAACCTCACTGTTGGCCTTGGACAGCACCCTCTGCAGTTCAGCCTTGGCTTCCTGCTCCTCCTCATACTGCTCCCGAAGCAGGTCACAGTCGTGGCGGGAGGACTGCAGCGCGTGGGCCAGGGCGTTCTTGGCCTGCAGAAGTCAAGGAGACCCTAGTGGATTTAGTACTATGTACATCCTACAACCAAGTACGTTTCTGCTATCATCACCTACTGAATAAAGTTGTGGATGTTTTTGTTTAGTTTTGTTTTTGCAAATTAGACCAAGGAAGCATCTTTCAGAAGAGGTACCTTGCTCTCTTCCTCCAGCTGCCTCTTGAGCTCTTCTATTTGTTGGGTAAATGCTTGCTTACTCCTGGAAAGTTGGGACACTATGCTTTCTTTTTCTTCCAGTTGACGACTCAGCTCACCTGAATCCAGAAGAAAATAGTGTCTTTCATTCATTCACTCATTCATTCGCCAAGTCCCTGTGCTAAAGAACAAGCAATACAATATGGTCCCTTCTTGAGGGAGAAGGATGTGTCCATGAAGAGGAAGTGGAAAGTACATCCTGCCAAAATGGTGTTGTAAGCTACCAAAAACCGGAAGCGACTTCTGTCAGTAAGACCTGATGAGAACAACTATATATTTAAACATTCCTGGGGGCACCTAACACTCCCATTAGACCTCCCAGAGGCTGGTGTTTCCAGCTCTTTGTTGATTTGTTATTATGGGAAATACTGTACTTAGGACTTTTTTATCTTTAGTAATTTGAAGTTTGACTCTGGGTGAATATGGTTAAGTTCAGATTTATATGCTTAACTAGAAGTCAGAGGAAAAAGAGGGAGAAGGGAGGACCTATGGTTCCAGAAGTGAATCCTAGAAGTTACTGGAAAAGTAGCTAATACACCTTCTTCACCATCTTGTCTATCACTGCTAGCAAAGGATTGATTCACCTGCAGTGAGGAGTCAGTGCTGGGTGGAGCCACATTTTCTAGGTGGAAGAACTCAAATAATGTTCTCTTACATTGCCATGTTAAACTTTAAGAGCCTTTCAAACTGGCCCCATTTCTTTCTTTATTCTCTAAAATGCTTGAATGCAGACACCATGCAACAAGAATTAGAAAAGCTGTGGGTCTTAGTTTCTAGTCCTTCCTCTGCCAGTTAGATTCTATCTGATGCAAGTTACATTAACTGTGGAAAAGTGTGAACAAAGTGATACTTTTGAGAGTCTTATGCTGGCCCTCTTCTCTCTCGCTTTTATTGAACTCAGTGTTTTCTTCCTTTAAGCTATTTTGGATGCTCCTTTTGTGAATCATTTAATTACTTCTCTCTTAAAAATGTGCCTCCCTAGAGACCCTCTCCAACACGTGGCCTCTTCATTTAGGCAGCTGCCCCTTCCAGGCACCAGGCAGTTGGGCCCTTCCGGTTTCCTGCACCGAACTCACCAGCCTCAGTCTGAAGACGGGACTTCTGGGTTGTCAGCTCGCTCACACTCCTCTGAATCTCCTCATTCTTCCCCCTGGCCTCGCTTAACTGGTCCTCCAGGGTTCGACATATCTTTTCCAGATTGGCCTGAAGGATTGGGGAGGGGAGAGAAGTCATCTGACCAGCTATAGATGGAAAAGCCGGGGCTCCCCGCCCCGCCCAAGCACCTCGGATTTCTCTTCAGTCCCAACCTCAGTCTCTCAGTGTGTGTATGTGTGTGTGTGTGCGTGTGTGTGTGTGCGTGCGTGTGTGTGTGAAGGGAGGGGACACTGAACCCAAGGGCCTTCTCTTTGAGCTACATCCCCCAGCCCATTTCCATTTTGAGACAGGGTCTCACTAAAGTCCTTAAATCCCCCAGGCCGGGTTCGAACTTCCATCTTTCTTCCTCAGACCCCCAGAGTGCTGCAATGACACAAGTGAGCCACCCAGCGAGCTGCACCTTGGATTTCGACACGCTCTCCACGCTGCTGGACAGGTCGTCGATCTCGAGCTTGAACTCGCTCTTCTCCTTCTCTAGCTTCTGCTTGACCCGCTGCAGGTTGTCGATCTGCTCCGCGAGCTCAGCCGCGCTGTCCGCGTGCTTCTTCCTCAGCGTGGCGACCGTGGCTTCGTGCTGCAGGGTCGCCTCCTCCAGGTCTCTGCGCAGCTTCAGGAACTCGGCCTCCCGCTTCTTGTTCAGCTCGATCTGGGTGGAGGTGACGCCGCCCGCCTCCTCCAGCCGCTCGCTCAGCTCCTCCAGCTCCCGGGCGTAGTCGCTGCGCTGCTTCTCGGTCTTGGCTCGAGTCGCCCTCTCCGCCTCGATCTCTTCTTCCAGCTCCTCGATGCGAGCCTGTGGAGAGCAGCCGTTCAGCCCGGGGCGGCCGCTCCAGAGCGGCTCTCAGTGTCTCTGTTCGAAACGGCTACGACGTGGAATCAACCTAAGTGCCCGTCCGCAGAAGAGCGAACAGAGGGACAGACAGCACGAATGCTGTGCGAGTACGCAATGGAATATTCTGCAGCCACAAAAAGTACGAAACCCTGTCATTTGCTGCAAAATGGCTTAAACTGGAAGGCATTCTGTCAAAACGAAATAAGCCAGACACCAAAAGACAAATACCACATGTTCTCTTATGTGGAAGTTAGGGGGAAAAGAGCCTGAATTTAGGATGGTGATCACTAGAGGCAGCTACAGGGAGACTGGATTTGATAAACGCTGTGTGCATGTGTTGAAATATCACACCAAAAACCATTCACATGTAACTTAATACATGAATAACAATAATAATAAAAGAACACGCTAGTTTCCATTTGGAAACCAGTTCACAGACTCTCCTTCAAGAAGTACAAATGTTACTGATTATTTTATTTTATTTTTATTTACAGTACTGAGGATTGAATCCAGGGCCTCAGGCATGCTAAGCAAGCCTCTACCACAGAATTACCAAACCACACCCCCAGCCCCTTTTTATTTTTATTTATTTATTTATTTATTTATTGGTACTGGGGATTGAACTCGGGACCTTTTGCTTGCAAGGCAGGCAGCAGAACCACTGAGCTAAATCCCCGGCCCCAGCCCCTTTTTATCTTGAGATGGGGTCTCATTAAGTTGCTCCAGCTAACCTCTAAATTCGGGTTCTCCTGCCTCATCCCCATGAGACACGTCCCACTGAGTCCTGCTCTGCTGATTTCCTTTCATGAATTTTCCCTGAAACAACATGTTCTTTAGTCCCGCAATAAGCACCCCAGGATATTTGCTATTCAACTGAATGTTGATCCAAGCACTTCAGTTCTGAATCGTGTTACAGGCTCTAAGAGTGATGTCCATCCCTAACCCTCAGCTGGGCAGAAGGGAACTGGCGAGGTGGGCAGCTGTGTGAACCACCCCCTCACTCTGGAAGGCTTCAAGCAGACAGAAACCCAAAGGCCGCCTACCTGCAACTCTTTGATTTTCTTCTGAAACTGGAGGCCCAGAGCCTGCTCATCTTCCACTTTGCTTTGTAGCTGACTATATTCAAAATCCTTCCTGGGGAGGGAAACGTAGATGCATGAGGACAGAATCCCCAAGTAACCTACAAAATGGAAACCGGTGGCTTCAGTGCCTACTTCTTGAGCCTTTCGTCCAGCTGTTGCTTATCATTCTCCAGATCTAGGATGGACTCCTGGGCAAGCTTCAAGTCTCCCTCCAGCTTCCGCTTGTTCCTCTCCAGGTCTACGCGGAGCTTCTTTTCTTGTTCAAGGGAGCTTTCCAGCTGAAAAATGCACCAGGGCCTTTGGAGAACAAATGCTGTGCAAAAGGACCCTGAAGATCCTGGTCTTCCTTGTTAACATTACTCACATCATCCACTTGCTGTTCCAGTTTGCTCTTGATTTTGCTCAAAGAATTGACTTTGTCTTCTTCAGCTTGGAGGTCGTCCAGGGTCTGCTGGTGGGCCTCTTGGAGAGCCTTCTTCTCCCTGGTTAACTTTGCAATTGTTTCATCCAACCCAGCCAGTTCCTCAGTAAGGTTTTTAACCTGAAGAGAAGCCACAGACAATTATTAAGAAGAAATAAAGTTTAATTTGCAATGATTGTGCCAAGCAGGAAATACCCACAAGAAGAGTACCTTGTTCTCCGTGGCATGCTTCTCCTTCTCAACCTTGGCCAGTGTCAGCTCAAGGTCATCTATGTCTTTCTTCAGTTCTGAGCACTCATCCTCCAGTTTCCTCTTCTTGGCTGTCAGCTCAGCATTGAGTTCTTCCTCATCCTCAGCTCTCTCTGTCACCTCCTTGATCTTAGCCTCAAGCTGGAATTTGGCTTTGATCAGTTGGTCGCATCTTTCCTCAGCATCCAGTAAGTTTTCACTTTCCTTTAAAAAAAAAAAGAGTCATAATTCCCTTTAAGGAGATGAGGTTTGTGACATTCCAGTATTTTGTTCTTTATGAAGTCCTTTATGACGCATCCCAACTAAAAATCAAAATTCTCCACCAATAATCCAGCCTTCCTAAATAGATAATCAAGTCTTGGGGCTTAAAAACAAAGGATTCCTGAACACATACAGCCTGTACTTGGAGCTGCAGGTCATTCTTCTCTTGTACCAGTGTCACCAGTTTTTCTTCAAGCTCCTTCCTCTTTGCCTCCGACTTGGCGAGCTCATCTTTGGTTTTCTGGAACTCTGCCTTCATGGTGGCCATTTCCTTCTCCGTCTCTGCGCTTTTGAGCAGGGGCTTGATCTTGAAGAAGAGTTTCATCCAGGGCCAGTGCTTGACGTTCATGAAGGAGCGAATGTTGTACTGGATGCAGAAGATGGATTCCCTGAAAACACAACACTGCTTATTCCTAAGAATGACCCCCCCTTGCCCCAAGGAGTGCAGGTTTGAACAAAGACCCTGGCTGACCTTCTCTGCACCATCTTCTGGAATTCCACACGCATGAGAAACCCTCTGCAGACTGCTTGGGTCCGGGTGATCAGTTTGGCCAGGCGGTCATCGCGCATTTCTTCCAGGGTTCCCAGTAAGCCAGCCTTGAAGAACACCTTAGAGAGGGGAGAAGTGACACAGTCACTTGTCTAGAGAAGTAATATTAGGAGGATGAAGGCCAGCATCTTTCAGGATTGACGCACTACCTTGGTGTGTCCAAATTTGTACTGAGTGTGGTCAATATCAATGGATGCCAAGAGTTTTTCACATGCTTTCTTGCTGTCAATGAATTGTCCCTCTGGGATTGCACTGGCATTTAGCACTCGGTATCTGCCATTGTAGACATGGAAATAATCATAGGCTGTCAGCAAAGACATAGACCTTGGAGACCAGTGAGTTCAGGTCCTTCTTCCCATATGTAAGAAGGCCAAGTTTCGAAGAGGTGAAAAACTTGCCTGTAGCCACACTGCTAGATATCAGCCTGGACCCTAAGGCCTTGGGAGTCAGGCCAGGGCTTTTCCTGCCATTTTGTATGGCAGATAAATTCCAGAGAACAACAGGGAAAAAACATGTATATACACCTGGACCCAGTGGTGGATTGTTTTACATGGAGATCCACAACTGGTTTTTTTTTTCCTTGAAGTAACTCTTTTCATACCAGTATTTCTCCCCTTCAAATTCCAGTTTTGGCACAACTTGTTAAGAAGATATAGAACATTTTGATCACAACCTTTGTTTAAAATCCCCATAGAGGATCCTGTTTGGGAATCCTTTCCTGCAGATGCGGATGCCCTCCAGAACACCATTGCACCTCAGCTGATGGAGGACAAGGCTGTGTTCCATAGCCCCTAGGACAAAAGCAAGATGTGTCAGCTTCACACGGAATCACTCACAAACCTGAGCACTCCCTCCACAGCTGCTGGGCATCTCACCTGGGGTTTTGGTTTCATTGGGAATTATACAACGCACAAAGTGAGGGTGGGTAGTTCTTAAATTTGACATCAGTTTGTTCAGGTTTTCCTAAAATAAAAACACTAAATGTGACAGGCTGCTGTGGACTTTTTCAGAGATGGAGATATGCCATCATGAAACACATGTGTTTTAAACTTATGATGAATTCTGAAGAATAGCAAAGTTACTTAACTCTGTTTTAATAGACTTATGGCTACAAGTGTAAGCAAGTAACCAACCAGGTTGAGTGTCCCCGAAAATCTGAAATTTGAAACGCTCCAAAATCTGAAGCCTTTTGAGAGCCAACATGACACCACGAGTAGAAAATTCCACACTGGACCTTACCTGCTGGGCCATAGGCAGAACACCGGCACACTTACAAATATGATATAAACGCACCTTCAGGGCGCGTGTGTGAGGTGCATATGAAATATATATCAATTTTGTGTTTAGGCTTGGATGTCCTTGCCCAGAAATCTCATTTTGTATATGAAATATTTCCCCCAAATCTGAAACACTTCTGGTCCCAAGCATTTGGGATATGAAGTACTCAACCTGCCGTAGTCATTTGCCTCCTAGTGAACCAGCAGCTCTCCCAGTACAGAAGGCTTTCTGAAGTCCATTCAGACGTGCTCAGCACCACAGGAACACGAGACATACTACTGGTGTCCTTCAGGCAAGTTGGAGGGTTGGTACTGGAAGCTCACCTCCCCAGCTAGCCAGCCCAGCTAGCTGCTGTACAAAATGATAATAAATTCTGGCCCCACATTTGTTACACCTCATTTATATATTATCATACTGTTCCTTGACCTCACCCAGGAACAGTAACCAAATCACACAACATTGCTATTCTTGAATAAGCCATGTTTCTTGTTTGTCTGTTTTGTTTTGAGACAAGGTCCTCCTATGTAGTTCAGGCTGCCCTTGAACTCACTGTGTAACCCAGGCTGGCCTTCAACTTACAGTCATCCTCCTGCCTCAGCCTTCTGAGTGCTGGGGTTACAGGCACGTGCCACCGTGCCTTCTTGTATAAGCCAAGTGTAGAATCTCTGCATTGTTCCTTTTGGTTTGACTTGAATTGCAAGCAAATGCACTTATATTTTTCTCACCCTGAAAAGTGCAGAGACAGTCTGGAAGGAAGAACCCTTCTTCTTGGCAACTTTCTTCTTTCCACTGTCAGCTGAAACAAAAGGCAAATGCTGTTAATGGATCTACAAAGTCTTCGGGTTCCTGTGGAAC